ATATTTTACAATTTAATTAATTATACAACATATTATATTGATATTTGACATTTCAACATTCTTTAGAGTTTTATCAAAATTTAATGAATAATTCTTACAAATAATATTAAATAATTTATGGTTAATAAAAATGAAGAGCCTTATATTTATCCGTTTTCAAACCAAAGAAGCTATTTTTTGTTTATTGGATTCAGAAAATATAATTAAGATTGAAGACCTATTGAGAAATCTCCTCCATTGTCTTAGAGTTTTTATTAATCATTTAGTAAATAACTATTTATTATTTTAGATTTTTTAAATTGTCATCTTACAATTTATTGGCATATCTCAATTAAGCTATTTTGTAAAGAGGAATCATTATAACTATTGGTCTATATTAATTGTAACTTGAAAAATCTTGAAATATTTGTTTAAAGAAATCAATCTAGCCTCAACTAATTAAATGATAGTTTTTGAGTAGTTTTATATAAATCCTATAATCCAACAATATTTGTTATTGATTTATTTTATAAATTAAGAATCAACATAATTAACATTATCAGAAAGGTTAATAAATGATCTCAAATTTATGAATAGGAAATTTTCTAACTAAACAACAATCAATAGAAATCAAAGTGCGCCATACTTATCTTTTCATATATATTTTGATATTTATTTAATTTTCTTAATTATAATCCTTTTGGTTTTTCTTTTATACAATCTTGAATTGTAAATCCTCTTATAAGGTAAGTTATTGTATTAGCGCTTCCTTTATGAAATCAGGTCATATAGTTAGTTTATGTCAAATTTATATATGTTTTTTGTAATTATTCCTTCCAATTTATTTTTAGTTTTGAATTATATTTTAAAGCAAAAATAATTTTATAAACATTTTTTTTTTCAAATATTTGATTCATTTCGCATTTCCCATTTGATAATTATATAAATTTATCATTATGCCTTAGTTAATAATAGTTTTCACAAAAGCTTTTCATAATCATATTTCTCAATTCAAAATTTAATTCTCTGAAAATTTAATAAAAAAATTTTATTTTGTTATTACTTCGAATCCACTACTTGAATTTCTTGAACTTGTGATTTTCAATTAGAATCGTGGAATGTATATTACACTTTTTGTAATTTTCCTGCTATTTCTTGTTTGCTATTAAATTTCAATATGAAATCTTTTTTAGAAATCTTTCCTTAAAATGAAATATAACTAAAATTAATATTCTAAGAAATTATTTATGCACCATTAAAATACAAATATGTTTTCATAGTGGGGATAAATCCATTGCGCAAATTGGGTTTTAATAAATCAAATACAAATTAAATCAAGTCTAAAATGAAAAGGATCACTCTTTAAACTTCATAAATTAAAAAATAATTAGTTGATATATTTTTGTTCTTTTCTCAATGGTAAAAAATCATTTGATTTCCTAAAATTAACATGTAAAACGACATATTAAAGAATAATGTAATTTTTCAAATAATATCTAGAATAGTTGATATTAGAAGCTTAGAGATAGTAAAATGCTAATGAATTTTGATTGCATGAATTCCCAAAAATGGAAAAGGAAAAAAAATATAGAATCAATATAAAAACATATAAAAGAATCCTTGTTTATAATCTTATCAATTATTTAAAAAGACAATATTTGTTAAATATAATTTATTCTAAAATCTCTAAAATATAATTCATTTATTCTTTTTTTCTCTTATTAAAATTATTATTGATGTTAGTGTGTAAATTTCAAAAGTAAATTTTAAATCCAAAAATATTCAATTAATTTCCTAGTATTTAATGATATTCATATATTAGTTAGAATATTCAATTCTGATCTTGATTTATAATACCCTAAATTTTTTATTACCTTCTGTCGCCATAAATTAATTTTAATTTTACTAATCTCAAATAATTCTGGAAAAAGATGAATCCATTGTTATAACATTTGATTGATATAGAACTTTGACTAAATGATATTTGTTGACTTATACTTGATATGAAAAAAATATAAATTAAAAGAGAATAATTGAAAGAGAAAAATACCTTATGTTTATAAAAACTGATTAAAAATACTTCAATTTAATCAAAATTAATTTATGAATAGGTTTAAAGCAATAAATGGATTTAATAATATTTCCATAAAATTTATTGGTTAATTACACCAGAATATTCGTACTTTAGTAATATATAAAAAATTTTTTATTCATGGTAATGATTAAAGACTCATGCCTTTTGAAGATGGAAATCAAGTTGAAAAATTTTCTTTTTTGAAAAAAAGGAATTAATGGCGTCTTAGATTGATGTACTCGAAATTTTGGTTTGTAAAGCTTCTATTTCAATATTTATCATTTTTAATCGAAATTTATGTCATTTTTGTTTCCTTTTCTTCTTTTGTGTTCCAATTATCTTCTTCTTCTAAAAATAGAAATTGAAAAAAAATTGAGTTCAATTACTCAATTGGAAATAAAAAAATGGGCATTTAATCGTTAAAAAGCATTAAATACATAGAGACTGATGAAATTTTTTTGTAAAAGCATTACTTCATTTCATTTTATAACATATCTCACTTTATGCAAATAATGATTACTTCGATATAAACTCAAGCCTCTTCCTTCTTTCCTAAATTTTATTTTCCATCACATAAGGCTGATGCAAATCAAACATGTTATACAAAATATATTTTCGTTCTTTTTTGTATACAGAATTTTATGTATAGCAACCTGAACATAATTGCTATACAATAAAGAAATGAGAAAAAATATATTATGAACACAAAATCGGAATATTCTTATAAGTTTTCTAATTTAGAGATAGCCCTCTTCAATTACCATCAATTAACATATTGATCACCTTCTATATTCACAATATATAAATATTAATAATGTAAATTAATTAATAATTGAAATTCTGAACCTTATTATAAAATGAAATTCGAATGTATGAAAAAATTAAAAGAAAATTAAATAAATTATGATTTAAATATTTGAAAATAGCATTAGTTAGAAATAATACTTCTTATGAATAAAAAATTCATCATATTTTCATTGTTGCTTGTTTTGGCAACATGTTAAACATATAGTATAGCACAATGCACATGTGCTTAATTATTGTCAGAAGGAGATTGTACTAAAAATGCCTCTCTTGGTTGTTCTTGGGATGGCACAAAAAAAGCATGTGCTGTTTCAACTACTCCTGTAGTTCCAACAGTGACCTATGCAGCATATTGTGATACTTTTGCTGAAACAGACTGTCCAAAAGCTAAGCCTTGTACAGATTGTGGTACATATGCTGCATGTGCATGGGTGGATAAAAAATGCACATACTTTACAGGATGCACAGCCTTTAACAAAACAACTAAAGATGAATGTTAAGCAATTAGTAATAGATGCATAACAGATGGAACTCATTGTGTTGAAATTGATGCTTGCAGTACATACAAGAAATAACTTCCTTGTGATAAAAATGCCGCTGGAAGTTTATGCTATTGGGATGCAACAAATAACAGTTGTGTAGATGCTAATACCTGTGATAGATTACCAATTACATTTGCTACTGACAAGGATTGTAGAGATGTGATATCAACTTGTACAACAAAGACTGGAGGAGGATGTATAGATAGTGGAAACAATTGCAGTGATTAAACATTAGAAATTTAATGTGTTTGGAATAAATTGAAAACAGTTGCTTGCTATTGGGATGGAGCAGCTTGCAAAGACAGAATTTGTGATAATGCACCAACAACATTAACAACTGATGAAACTTGCAAAGCCTTTAGAACAGATGGTACATGCACAACAAAAGCTAATGGAGGATGTGTAACCAGAACTACTTGTGCTGCTGCAACTATCTAAGCTGCTTGTATTAAGAATAGCACAGGTGGTGATTGTTATTGGAATGGAACTGCATGTGTTGATAAATCTTGTACAAATGCTCCAACAACAATGACTACTAATTCTGCTTGCGCTGGATTTGTCACAGGATGTATTACTAAATCAGGAGGAGGATGTGTATCCAATGGAGCTTGCTCAGCTGCAAATATCTAAGCAGCTTGTGTTAAGAATACATCTGGAATTGATTGTATTTGGGATACAACATGCAAAGAAAAAACTTGTGCAAATGCCCCAATTACTAATAATACCCATGATTTATGTACATCTTACTTAGCTACCTGCACTGTTAAATCAGGAGGTGGATGCTAAAATAGAACTTGTGCAAATGCTCCAACAACATTAACCACAAATGATGCTTGTGAAGCCTATTTACCATCAAGTAACTGTATTACAAAGACTGGAGGAGGCTGCGTTGTAAATACTACATGCGCACTAATTTCTTTAGAAGCTGCTTGTATCAAGAATTCTTCTGGAGCAACCTGTTTTTGGGATTCTGCAAGTTCAACTTGTAAGGATAAAATTTGCACTAATGCTCCATCATCTAACACTACACATGATCTATGTGTGGCCTTTTTATCAACATGCACAGTTAATTCAGCCAGCGCAGGTTGTGTCGATAAAACATGTGAAAATACATTAACTTAAGCTATTTGCGATAAAGATTTGAATAACAAAGTTTGTATTTGGAAAGGAAAATGTTACAAAAAGTAATGTGTGTTAGCTTCATCAACTACAGCAACTCATGCTGATTGTTAAACTTATGATTCAAGTTGTACATTGAGTAATACCGGTTCAGGATGCGTACCTATTCCTCTTAAATGTGAAGCAATTACTATAGAAGCTGCTTGTAATATTAGATTATAAATTACAAACTCAGTTAAATCATACCCAACATGTGGTTGGAATGGTTCATAATGTATTGATAAGGCTTGTTCTACTGCTCCAAAAACAATACAAACAACAAATGATTGCAATAATTACAAAACAGATTGTGTTGCTAATAACCCTGTGACTGTCAATGGTTCTCCTACTATTTAAGGATGCTAAGATCTACCAACAACATGCGCTGCTAGAAAATCATCTGAAAATTGTTCAATCACAAGAATTGGATTCCCAACATGCCTTTGGAACAGTACTACATCTACATGTGTTGAAAAATCCTGTACTACTGCTAGTACTGCAGGAACACCAGGTGTACTATTAACATTTACTTTCGCTAATTGTTAAGGATATCTCCCTACTTGTATCTCAAACAACAATTAAGATGGATGTATTGCTAAACCTTCTAGTTGTTCAGGATTAAATTCTTAAAATTGTCAATTAGGATCAAAAGCGAGTGGAGATTGTTATTGGAATGGAACTAGTTGTGTTGATAGAACTTGTGCAAATATTTCTCTAGCTACTCACTTAGCTTGTTAAGGTGTATTGAATACATGCACAACAAATAATGGCAAAACTGCTTGTTAACCATTAGCTGCTACTTGTACTTCCTATGGTTCATCTGAGAATTGTAAAATTACTTCCACTTAGAAAACTTGTATATGGACTGGAACAGCTTGTAGGAGTGCAACTTGTGCTGACGCAGCAGATAGTGCTTCTTTTAATACAGATGCATTGTGTTCAGCCTATCCAACACCAAGCGAAACTTGCACTGTAGTTTATAAAACTGGAGGATAAGGTTGCGTGACAAGATCAGCTAATTGTAGTGATTATGTCTCATAAACTTAATGCTATAGAACTTTGACAGCAAGCTCAGATGACTGTACCTGGAATGCAAGTCTTAGCAAGTGCTTTTCAAATACATATCTTGCAGGTGCATGTTCAACTTTTAAAGGAACCAAAACCTATTGTGAATAACTGAAAACAGGTTGTACGAATACAGTTAGTGCTACTGATGGAGATGCTTGTACATTTTCTTGCACAAATATAACTGGTCTGACAAGTCCAAATAATACTCATGCAACTTGTTAAGGATACAATACTACTTGTACTATTAATGTTGCTGGAAATGCATGTGTAACCTTATAAGCAGCTTGCAGTAGTTATGCATAAGCAGATTGTAATATCAAAACTGGTAATTTGAAATGCTTTTGGAATGCAAGTGCTTCCCCTGCTGCTTGTGTAGATATTACCTCAGCTAATTGTAACCTTCTTGCATCATTAACAAGTCCAAATAATGATCATGCCTATTGCTAAGGATTTAGTACTAGCTGCACTATTAATGTTGCTGGAACAGCATGTAAACCTTTGTAAGCTACTTGCGCTGGATACATTTAAGCTGATTGTGAAACAAAAACTGGTGGTTTGAAATGCTTTTGGAATGCAAGTGCTTCCCCTGCTGCTTGTGTAGATATTACCTCAGCTAATTGTAACCTTCTTGCATCATTAACAAGTCCAAATAATGATCATGCCTATTGCTAAGGATTTAGTACTAGCTGTACTATTAATGTTGCTGGAACAGCATGTAAACCTTTGTAAGCTACTTGCGCTGGATACATTTAAGCTGATTGTGAAACAAAAACTGGTGGTTTGAAATGCTTTTGGAATGCAAGTGCTTCCCCTGCTGCTTGTGTAGATATTACCTCAGCTAATTGTAACCTTCTTGCATCATTAACAAGTCCAAATAATGATCATGCCTATTGCTAAGGATTTAGTACTAGCTGTACTATTAATGTTGCTGGAACAGCATGTAAACCTTTGTAAGCTACTTGCGCTGGATACATTTAAGCTGATTGTGAAACAAAAACTGGTGGTTTGAAATGCTTTTGGAATGCAAGTGCTTCCCCTGCTGCTTGTGTAGATATTACCTCAGCTAATTGTAACCTTCTTGCATCATTAACAAGTCCAAATAATGATCATGCCTATTGCTAAGGATTTAGTACTAGCTGTACTATTAATGTTGCTGGAACAGCATGTAAACCTTTGTAAGCTACTTGCGCTGGATACATTTAAGCTGATTGTGAAACAAAAACTGGTGGTTTGAAATGCTTTTGGAATGCAAGTGCTTCCCCTGCTGCTTGTGTAGATATTACCTCAACTAATTGTAACCTTCTTGCATCATTAACAAGTCCAAATAATACTCATGCCCATTGTTAATCATATAGTACTGACTGTACTATTAAAACTGGAGCCACTGAATGTAGAGCTATTTAAGCAAATTGCACTGGTTATGCTGAAGCGGAATGTAATGTCAAAACTGGTGGTTTGAAATGCTTTTGGAATGCTGCTGCTACTCCTGCTGCTTGTGTAGATATAACCTCAACTAATTGTAATCTTCTTGTATCATTAACAAGTCCAAATAATACTCATGCAATTTGTTAAGGATACAGCACTGATTGTACTATTAATGCTGCTGGGAATGCCTGTAAGCCTTTGTAAGCTACTTGCGCTGGATACATTTAAGCTGATTGTGAAACAAAAACTGGTGGTTTGAAATGCTTTTGGAATGCTGCTGCTACTCCTGCTGCTTGTGTAGATATTACCTCAGCTAATTGTACTCTTATTACAGGATTAACAAGTCCAAATAATACTCATGCAATCTGTTAAGGATACAGCACTGATTGTACTATTAATTCTGGTGGAACAGCATGTGTAGCACTTACCTGCGAAACTGCTCCAGTTGCAAGCCCTAGTTTTGCTAATTGCTAAGCTTATAATACATCTTGTAGTGTAAAGAGAGATGGAAGTGGCTGTGTTACAATTTAAGCATCGTGCTCAGGATATACATCAATAGTTAATTGTTATAAATCCACTGCTGGTTATTGCATTGCTAATAACTCAGATAATTCATGTCTCAGTTTGACAGCATCAACTACTTGTGATGCTTTATATTTAGGAGCAGGAAACTATACTCATGCAAAATGTAACTTATTTAAAGATAGTTGCACTAATTTAAGTACAACAGGATGCTAAACTAAAACATGTGCTAATTATGCAGGACCTACTTTTAATCATGTTAATTGTAATGGTTGGTTGAATACTTGTACTACAAATGTTGGAAATACCGCATGCACAACTATGCCAGCAACATGTGCCGTCTAAACACAAGCATCATGCCTTTGGTCAGTTGAAGGAGAGTGTGTAGTCTAAGGTACATCTTGTGTCAGAAAGACCTGTGATACTGCACTTCCAGCTTCAAGCTTTGGTACTCATTCTCTCTGTATCGGTTATTTATCTTCATGCACTGTTGCAAGAACAGGAGGTTGCTAAGCAAGAGCTGCTTGTTCAACTTATAAATCAAGCTTATAATGTAAATTCAATACAAGCGGTGGAAGATGTTTCTGGAATCCAACCAACTTGACTTGTGTTGATTTGAATTGTGGTAATATTGAGGCCACATCTTCATATGATACTCATGCTGAATGTGTAGCAGTAGATTCATCATGCACAGTTAGAGCCTCAAATGGCTCTGCTGCTCCTGGTTGTATGGCTAGAGGAGCATGCAGTGCATATACTATTGAAGATCAATGTAGAACAAATGCCAGTAATGGTGTTTGTGTTTGGAATACTAATTTAACTCCAGCTGTTTGTCAAGATAAATCATGTACTAGTGCTCCAAATTCTACTACAACTCATAATGATTGTTATGCTTATTATAATACTGCATCAGTAAAATGCACAGTGGCTGCCATTCCAAGTAATAGTGGTGGTAATCCTACATTGTAAGGATGTTAATAAACAGCAGCATGTTCAACTTACATTGATAAAGAATAATGTCAAATTAATGCTAATGGGGATCCATGTGGATGGAATGGAACATAATGTGCTGACAAATCTTGCGCAACTGCTCCTGCCACCGCCGATTATGATGATGATACAAAGTGTAGAGCTTACCTCTCGAATAAATGCACTGTCTCAGAATCTGGATAAGGATGTGTAGATATTCCTGCCACTTGTGAAACAATGACATAGAAATAATGCTATTTTAATAAGGCTGGTGATCCATGCTATTGGAATGGAACAGCTTGCATCACAAGAACATGTGAAAATGCTCCTGATGCAACAGTTACAGCTGAAGAATGTAATACATATTTAGCTGGATGCACTTTAGATAATGTTAAATGTAAACCAAAGGTATGTGAAGATTTCGCATTTGCCACAGATGCCTTATGCAAATAAGCTCTTAGCACTTGTACAACCAATGGTACAAATTGTGTTACTAGAGGAACTTGTTTCCAAGCTTTGAATCAAGCTGGTTGTGTTACTTCATCAACAAATCAATAATGTGAATGGATGCCAGCTGCAGGTACTAATTAAGCATATTGTACCATAAAGACATGCAGTACAGCCCCAGTTACTTTAACTTCAGAAGCAGCCTGTGCAGGTTATTTCACAAATTGTACTACAAAGAATGGTGGTGGATGTGTTGCTAAGACTACTTGTTCAGCTGTCACAATTGATGCTGCCTGTACAACTGCTCTTAATGGTACAATTTGTGCTTGGGATAGTGCATAAAATAGATGCAGAGACAAAGATTGTTAAGATTTTAGTGGAACAACTCATGCAGCATGTTAAGCCTAAAGAGCTGGATGTACTGCTGGTGCAAATGGAAAATGTGCCAAAGTTTAAAATTGCGAACAAACTTAAATTAGAAGTGCTTGTATTGAAGGAACAAATGGACCATGTTTGTGGATTAATGATTTCGTTAACACTGATGGATCAAAAGGAGCTTGCTTCAGATATACATCATGCAAGAGTTTATCTTGGAATACTGATACATAATGCAAATGGATTAGTAAATAATGCACAACAAATGGGTCTGGTTGTATTGGAATTACTTAATGTTCAGAAACCAATACAGATGGTGGATGTGTCACAGGATATGACGGCGCTTGTATCTAATCAGTACCAGCTTTGAATTCTCCAGATCCAAAGGTTTGTAAACCATATACCTCTTGCGCAGATGCTTTCTACACAACTCATTCAGATTGTTAGATAGCTAGTAGATAGTGTACAACAAATGGAACAACTGGTTGCATAGCTTTGGGTGCTTGTTCTTCTTATACTTCACAAGCAGGATGTTATTTCAATGATAAAGGAGTTATTTATACATCTGGATCTATTACTTCAACTGGAATTTGTACTTGGGATACTACTTCTAATAGTTGTAGAGATTAATCATGTGCAGATTTAACTGGTACAAACCATTCCACATGTTCTTCATAATTGTCAACATGCACATCAGATGGAACTACTTGTTTACTCAAAGGAGCATGTTCATCATACACAACTTAAACTGCCTGCACAACAGCAGTTGGATCTGATGGTATTTGCTATTGGGAACTTGCATCTGCAACCAATAATAACACTGCTAAATGTAGATTATAAACTTGTGCTGATATTCAAAATGGTACCTCCACAAATGTTTGCCTAGTTGCTTTATCTTCTTGTGTTTCAAACGGAACTGCATGCATTCCTAAAGCCAATTGCTCAACTTACACAACTAAAACTGCTTGTAATTCTGGTGGATTGGATGGAATTTGTGTATTTACTTAATCTACTGCCACTGGAGCTGCTGCAGGTACTGGTACTTGTGCTTTAATGACAGCTTGTACAACAGCTAATAATGATTAAATTGCTTGCTAAGCTGCCAAGGATAGATGTTCATGGACTCCAGCATCAGGAACTGGAGCCACTGCTGTTGCAAGTAAATGTGCTTCTCACACTTGCGCTACAAACTAAGCAACAAATGGAGTTTGTACAAGATTTTTGAATTGGGACAAAAAGACCTAATAAGTTTGCACTCTTGTCAGTGGTGCATGCACAGCCACAGATCCATCAACTTTGTCATTAAATGATTGCTTCTTGGTTTCTGGTTATACATATACCTGGAATGCATCAACAAGCAAATGTGGAGTTTGCACTGCAGTTGTTGTTTAACCAAATAATACAGATAACAACACAAACAACACTGATAACAATACAACAACTGATTCAGGATACATACTTGGATTATCAACAATCGTTTTTGGATATCTCATGTTCTGATGAGAATGATTTTTAAATATATATAGGGAAAAATTATCAATAAATTATAAATAAACTTTTGGGAATAGGTTATCAATTAATTGTTAATCTATATCTAATTTTCACTTATCTTTTGTTATTTAATAATAAAATATATATCAAATAAGTATTTACAATAGCTTCACACTAATATCTTAATGACTCTACAATATTAGCATCTGAGAGAGCATTATGAGTGTCCTAAATTGAGTTTCTAAACCAAAACTTTTTTTCCCTTAATGAAAACTCATTTTCTCAGTGATCATTTTTATTTTTAAATTCGATTATTTTGCTTCTAATTTTTAAATTTGTTGAAGGTTCCAAAAATTTATATATTCTAAATTAAAAATAAGATAGATAATAAAGAGTTCGAATTATCATTTCAAAATAAAGAATTATTTTTCAGTAATTCTACTAATCAAAAATATATATTAACAACTTTTCTTTATTATTGTTTTGAGAATATTTATCATCTCTATAAGCTATGGTTTATCAAATAATAACTAATAAACTTATTGTTATCTTAATTTTGCTTTTCCTTTTATTCTTTTTCAATTTTATTCAATTTTTATCATTATTTAATGATTGATAAATACATATTTTAAAAATCATAATCTTTTGTAATATAAGTTCTATAGAATAATCATACTCAGAATATTATGTAATAAATTTTTTAATATAATTAATTTCGACCTAAATTTATCACAAAGAATTATGTCAAAGCAGTTTGATTTGTAAGTTTATCCAAATATACAATCCTAAAGAACTCAACCTTGTAAATTAGAGAAGATTCTAAAGAATATTTAGAATTAAAAAATTTTCAATCACAATATTGACTATTAAAACAAAATTTATGATGAATCATAGTTTTCTTATTTAAACAATAGACTTATTAATAAGGAATCACCTTTATTTAGTTTACCAAGTCATCGCATAAATTAATAAAAAGATAATAATATATTCCATGATTCTCAAAAAAAGGCTCTTTGTTATCAACTTCCAAAAATACAACAGAAGCTTAAGACTTTAAGTAAAGCAAATTTTTCATAAGAAAGAATTCGTTCAACTCTTCAAAATTCAGAATTGATTTCAATTACTAGAAGAAAGATTACTGATAGTGAAGAAATATATTAAAAAGATTAATTAAATATTAAAAAACTGGATGAGCAATTAAGCAATTAGTAAGATTAGTCGAATCAGATTAGATGGCGTTTAAATAAACATTCATATCCTGAGGTTTCTGAATTAAATGACCTTTCAAAATAGATAGATTTTATATATAAGAAAAACAATGTAAATCCTGTAAAAATAAAAGCCAATCAAAATTATTACAGTTCAAGAGATAATAAAAATTCAAATTAATCTATAGAATTTTTAATTAAATTGTTAAAAGAGAGTAGTAGAAAATGAAATTATGTAAATTTTCTCATTATATTAATTAATATACAAAAAGTTAAATGATTGGGTACTAGAATTAGACTTCAGAAGATCAAGATATTTTCGGTTCACAAGCCTTTGAAATCATAGATGTTGATATATATATAATAAATTTTAGAAAGTATAAAGAAAACCTAGTTAAAGAGAATCTTTTAGTAAAAAATAATCTTTTGTAAATAAATAAGCCAAAAGATCTATTAGTGCAATAAAATCTGATGAAGTAATTGATATTCTATATTGAATTAGAATAAAATGATGATTAATAATGGTTAAGCATTAAAAAGATCAAAGGATGATCATCCATTAACAGGATAAGAATAATTAGAATTTAAATTGATTCAAGTTGAGATATCAGATTTCATAATAATTGAGCATTCAGAAAATGGTAAAGATTATAAAATTTTGGACTAAAATGACTGGAAGAAAATAATCAAACAAAAATCTTTATCAGGATATATGATGCATGATATACATGTGTCATTATTAACTTAAAATCTATTTTTTATAGAGAGGAGAGATATATGGTTATTATTTTGTTAAATAGACTCAATAAAATAAAAAATTAATTAGAAAAATTCTACATTTTTTTAGTATTCTACTTAAGATAATAATTATTCATAATAAATTGATAAAGATATACCAAGAGCATTAATGGGAAATAGATTCTTGAATTTAGTAAGCATATAATTAAACATAGCAAGAAAATTAAATTAGTTTAAAAAGGATATTAATGGCTTATGCTAATTATGATCCTGAATTGGGATATACTCAAGGAATGAATATTATTGCAGCTAATTTATTAATTTGTTATGATTTGAAAACAAATGATGAGAAATTTTTAGAAGGTATATAATAATAATTAATACCTTTAAGATGTTGAAATAATAGATCCATCAAGAGATGAAAATGTATTTTATCTTTTTATATATATAATGGTGGAATTAAATTGGAGATCAGTTTTTATTCCTGGATTTCCAGGTTTAATAAGAATGATGAAGGTTTTGGATTTAAAATTTTAAAATGAATTGCCGTAATTATATGCACATTTTTAAGAATCTAATGTAGATCTAAATGTGTGTTTTTAATAATAATATCTATCTTTATTAATGTATGGAATATCTTGGGAGATCAGTAGAATGATTTTTGATTTATTCCTTTTTGAAGGTGAAGTAATTATTCATACTTTTCTGATTGGTATGTTGAAATATTGTCAAGATAATCTACTAAGATTGAAAACTTTTGAAGTATTAAAATAATATAATCTTTAGGAAATAACAAAATTTTGTAAAAGTGAAATGATAAGATAATTTTATGAGTTATTTTCAATTAAATTTGTAGGAAACAAAGATTTTTCAACTATCCTATTAAATTTAGGCTTTATTAAAGTTTAAGGTTAAATAGTACCTCCTTAACCTGTGTCTCCTGTTAAATAAGTAAAGTAGAACAATAAATTTGAAATCTGGAAAGGAACTTTCCTTAAGAATTTTTTCTAAAAAAAGAAATGAACAAAACATATAAGATGCATAATTAATTTTTCATTAACTATTTATTTATATTTTGAGATTTACTCATTTTTATAGTAATATATATATATATATAAGTAAAATATTTATATAATAATTTTTTTTTGCGCTTCAAAAGTGAAATAATTAATTTAATTATGTCTTTTGAGTTGAAGAAAAGAAAATTGCAAACTTAACCTGCAGAAGTGCAAAAATTATTATTAGGAGAAAGCATGGATTATAGGAATATAGATATAGTTTAATCAAATAAACCATTAATTTTGAGTCCTGATTTGAGTNAGTATTCTACTTAAGATAATAATTATTCATAATAAATTGATAAAGATATACCAAGAGCATTAATGGGAAATAGATTCTTGAATTTAGTAAGCATATAATTAAACATAGCAAGAAAATTAAATTAGTTTAAAAAGGATATTAATGGCTTATGCTAATTATGATCCTGAATTGGGATATACTCAAGGAATGAATATTATTGCAGCTAATTTATTAATTTGTTATGATTTGAAAACAAATGATGAGAAATTTTTAGAAGGTATATAATAATAATTAATACCTTTAAGATGTTGAAATAATAGATCCATCAAGAGATGAAAATGTATTTTATCTTTTTATATATATAATGGTGGAATTAAATTGGAGATCAGTTTTTATTCCTGGATTTCCAGGTTTAATAAGAATGATGAAGGTTTTGGATTTAAAATTTTAAAATGAATTGCCGTAATTATATGCACATTTTTAAGAATCTAATGTAGATCTAAATGTGTGTTTTTAATAATAATATCTATCTTTATTAATGTATGGAATATCTTGGGAGATCAGTAGAATGATTTTTGATTTATTCCTTTTTGAAGGTGAAGTAATTATTCATACTTTTCTGATTGGTATGTTGAAATATTGTCAAGATAATCTACTAAGATTGAAAACTTTTGAAGTATTAAAATAATATAATCTTTAGGAAATAACAAAATTTTGTAAAAGTGAAATGATAAGATAATTTTATGAGTTATTTTCAATTAAATTTGTAGGAAACAAAGATTTTTCAACTATCCTATTAAATTTAGGCTTTATTAAAGTTTAAGGTTAAATAGTACCTCCTTAACCTGTGTCTCCTGTTAAATAAGTAAAGTAGAACAATAAATTTGAAATCTGGAAAGGAACTTTCCTTAAGAATTTTTTCTAAAAAAAGAAATGAACAAAACATATAAGATGCATAATTAATTTTTCATTAACTATTTATTTATATTTTGAGATTTACTCATTTTTATAGTAATATATATATATATATAAGTAAAATATTTATATAATAATTTTTTTTTGCGCTTCAAAAGTGAAATAATTAATTTAATTATGTCTTTTGAGTTGAAGAAAAGAAAATTGCAAACTTAACCTGCAGAAGTGCAAAAATTATTATTAGGAGAAAGCATGGATTATAGGAATATAGATATAGTTTAATCAAATAAACCATTAATTTTGAGTCCTGATTTGAGTATAATAGTAGAGAAATTCAATCCTTTATATGAAATTGCTTTTGAATTTTTAATGTGTGTAGCTGAACCAATTAGTAGATCAGAATTAATTCATGAATATGTGTATATATTGTTTTTAATTAAGATTGACTTAAATGAGTATGTATACAGCTATGGTACTATAATATTCAGCAGATGATATAATTAGACTATTAGATCTATTATCCAAAAATAAGGTTCCTTAAAGAATGGAACAATTTATTAGACATCATACAAATAATATAGGATAAGCAAAATTCTTTTTATAAGATAAGAGTTATTTTATAGATATTGGAGAAACAGTTTTAAGTTAAATAATGATGAATTTATAAGATAAGAATAGTATATAAGAGGTAATTTAAGAGGAATAGATTATTCATAATATTTAAGTGAATCCATAATTGAAGAATTTTGAGCATTAAATAGAATTAAAGGAATCTGATATTGAATAAATGGCAAAAGAGATTGATACATTTAAAGATTGGTTAGCATAAGATAAAATATAAAGTATCAAATTTAAACGATTTAAAATTGTTGGAGACTATTTTGATGTAGCTTAAGCTTTAATTCGTTCATCAGTTCCTTTAATTTAAGAATATGATTTTACAAAAGAGTAATAAAAATTAGATATTAATTTAAAATCATCTACTAAACCTAGATTATATTAATTAAGAGCAGCAAAAAATGTTATCATGGGAGATTATGCAAAATCTGGTTTAATTGTATTACCATGTGGAGCAGGAAAGACTTTAGTAGGAGTTTTATGTATGAGTTTAATTAAGAGTTCAACTGTTATAATTTGTGATTCAAATGTATCAGTTGAATAATGGAAAAGAGAAATTGAAGGATATACTACAATTGATAATAGAAGAATAGTACGTGTAACTGGATTTGCAAAAGATAAATGGTAAGGTGAATTACCTATTGTCATATTAACTACTTATTCTTGGTTAATTGCTCAATTTAGAAATAATTCAACAAGTACAAAGACTATTTGGAATCAAATATCAGATGTTAATTGGGGGATTTGTATTGTTGATGAAGTACATAGATTACCAGCTGTACAATTTTAGAATGTGTTAAAATAAATAAAATGTGCAATTAAGATTGGTTTAACAGCAACTCTTTTAAGGGAAGATTAAAAATTAGATAATTTGTATTTCATGATTGGTCCAAAATTATATGAAGAAAATTTAATAGATTTAATGACATAAGGATTTCTTGCTAAACCTCATATAATTGAGATTTAATGTGATATGACTCCTATATTTTTATAAGAATATCAAACTAAAAATAATATGACAGTTAGATAATTATTACATACAGGTAATCCAGGAAAATTTAAAGCATTATAATTTTTGATTAAAAATCATGAGATGTTAGGACATAAAATTATTGTGTTCTGTGATTCATTATTAATACTTAATTATTATGCTGTTTTATTAGGTTATCCAGTAATAGATGGAGATTTAAATACAGATGAAAAAAATAAAATATTTAGTATATTCAAGAATTCTAATGAAATAAAAACAATTTTTGTATCTAGAGTTGGAGATACAGGAATAGATATTCCATCTGCTAGTGTAGGAATTGAAATTGGATATTTAGGAGGTTCAAGAAGATAAAAAGTATAACGATTAGGAAGAGTTATGAGACCAAAATAAAATACTAATAATGAAATTTAAGCATTCTTTTATTCTTTAGCCAGTAAAGATACAACTGAAAGTGAATATTCATATAAAAGATAAAAATATATTACAGAATAATTAGGATTAAATACAGAATTAATATTAGAAAGTGATTTGCCTTATAATAAAAATCCATAGAAATATAAATATATCAAATAAATGAATGAAATGGACTTATTAGAATAGATAATGTTATCATCTAGTGATTTAACAAATAAAGTAGTAGAATAAATTGAAGAGGAGGTTTAAGTAATAACAAATACTTTTTCTTAAGAATTTGGTGGTGTATACAAATTTTAGTGATTTTTTTAAATTTTGTTTTATTATTTATGAATTTAAAAATAGACAATATGTCAGAAGAACAATTAATGGAAGAATATGCTAAACTTCCTTTTGAATATTTTGCAGATGAAAGATGGGAATATTATATTAAAGTACATCCTAATATGAGTTAAAGTGTAATTGCTATTTGTATGGTATATGATTGGTTGAACTTATCTACTTATAAGAGGGATGCTTATGAAATTTCAAGGAGATCAAAATAGAATGAAATTTTAAGTAAGATTCTAATGAAAAAAAAGTAAACCGCTCTTAAAAAATTGGGTGTATAATTTTAAATAAATTACTGTTGTTCTTAGTAGATATTCAAATCTAGAGCAGATAAATTGAAAATGAATTTAGAAAACCTTTTTCCTTAAATAAATTGTAATAATTATGCAATTGGTGGTAAATCTGAGGAAATCGCGGTGTATGCAATTTAAGATAAGAAACCTTATTTGATTTGGCATAGTCATGTAGATGAACCTGAAGATATCACATTATTACTTGGAAGACTTGATTAAATATTCTAATAATTTAAATAATGATTGCTGTCGAATAATTATTTACTAAGCCTATTCAAGAAATTCAAAGAGAATAGCAAAATCTCCAGAAAGAAATTACTACTAAGAATAAGGAATTAAAGGATCTCTTCAGCTCTAAATATCACGAACTCCTTAATTGTGCTGATCTACTTAATGGCATTAGTGATTATACTAAATAGATTATGTAAAATACATTCTAATAACATACATAGAACAATTACAAATAAAACATAATAAAACATGATGTAGATTAATGAATCCAATAACAATAATCAAAAATTATAATAATAAGATCACAAATGTAAATCATTTACATATTTTATGAAAAAGGTTAAGTAATCTATGAAAAATGGATATTGTTATAATTCTCAAATATCATTATTATATGCTTAGAATAAATATTAATTGAATGATTCTGAACGATTGTATCCAATCATTCTATTAGAATAAATTGAGTAAGAATGTAATCTCAATAATGTAATTGATACACTCTTAATTCATTAAAATAATCTATCTATATTCTTTAATAAACTTATTGAATATGGAAGTTTGAATTGTAATAATTATAAAGCTGTAATTGCTAAAATAGATTAAATTCATTCATTTGATAATTATACTTAATTAATTCTTTTAAAATAAAACTATATTCAATTGACTATTGAATAAATATATGATATACTAATTAATAATCAAATCCCAATATTTTAAATAGATAATTAATTAATAGAGAAATTCAAATAAAATATATTATCATATACTAAAACGATTGAAGTTTAAATTTTAGAAAAACTAATATAGAATATTGTTTAAAATAGTACATTTAATCATGAACTTTATTAATCAATTTAAAAAGAATAAGAATTTATTCCTTAAGAATTAAAAAATAAAACAATTATAATTTGGAAAGATTGGTTTGATTTATCATTAAATAATCATTTTTAATAATTATTTTAGATTATTGAGAAAGAATAAATCAAATAAGAGAAAGAGTTTTTAGAAGTTTATAAAGTTTATCAAAATAAAATTAAAGAAATAAAAGAACTATGTGATTTAATAGAAAAATTACCACATGATGAAATTGAATATAAATATTAGTAATGTATATAGGATTGTTAAAAGATGATTAAGGAATATTCATAAATATTAAATAATATATTTGAGTAAAATAAAGATTCATTTCTCATTTGTTTTTATTACAATATCTTAATATATTAATGGAATGAATAATTATAGAAATATCAATTAGATCTATATTGTGAATAAAATAATTAATGGGATTTAAAAGAAATAGATTAATTATTATTTTCTATTTATTAATTATAGAAATAAGAAATTAAGAGAGAAACAATTTCATAAATAATCAAACTTATGTTATAAAAAGTAGATATTATATTTTCAATTGAATACAGAAATTTGGCTACTGCTATTCATCCAGAGAAGGCATAGGAATACTATTAGAATCTATTTAAGACAGGAAAGTTTAATAATAAGTCATTGAAGAGAACTTAATTAAATCTAGAAGGGATAGATTTATCATTAGAACAACATTTCCATTATTACACTATTATATAGTAATAAAAGTAGACTACAAAAGATTAGATAAATGCTTGGACTTAAAAGGCATAAGAAGTTTAATAAAAATAGTAATAAGAACCTTAGTAATAGACAAGATTTGGTTTAAATATGTTTTGGAAGAAATAATGAGATTGTGATATATAAATATCAATATAAATAAAATGTATATTTATATAATATTATTTTAATAAGATAAAACATAAATTTAGTTATTTGTTAAAAATTATATTAGATGATATGATTATGTGATTCAGAAATTGGTAAGATAAATATGTTGAATATATTTCAAAATAAAGATTTTTAATATAATATAATAGATAATATTCATTCAATAAATGGATATGAAAGAAAGAGAAATTAAAATAATATTAAAATAATATAAATAATAATCATTTCTAAATTATTGAATTATAAATAGCTTTCAATTTAGCATATAAAACTTCTTTATTTTGTTCTGCTTGATTGTATAAATAATTTTAGATTTTTGCTTATGTGCAATTTTCATAGAATTCTTCTAAATTATAAGATATAATCATATCACTTAAAACCTAGACTCCATCT